GTCATATTTGTCCGGGAGGGACAATAGGGAATCGCTGACCTGGGCGGACTGCTGGATGGGCTGGGGGACTGGCTCTCTGGGACGACTTGTGGTAGAGGATCCTCCGCTAGTTGGAGATGAATCCTCTCGGGTGTTGTCGAGGTGGTGGAGAACATAGAGGACCTTATCCATTACCGTACCCAGTTGAGCCAGCTGGTCATGGTGTTGACGGAGTAGGTGTTCCTGTCCGTCGACCATCTGGGAGATATCCTTAACTTCTGCTGCTTCCTTATCTTGAGAGGCAGTATTCTGTAACGTATACGCAGGGAGTCAGGAAGCAGGTGCAGAAGTTGAGTTTAATAATAAGAAACATGAAGATAATCAAAACAGGAATAGAGTACTGAACGTAAACTAAACCAATACTGCCTGAAGACTGAGGCTACTGAGGGGTAAATAAAGGGAGAGTAATCAAAGTATTGGTGAAGTGCATGTGTGCTTAATGATGGGGAGCAGGTGCGCGAAATGATGATGCCTGGACCGGTGGTTAGTAGACCGGCGACGTCGAGCGCCGGAGATGGGGAGCGGGAGTAGGCATGACACACCTTGTAGAGTCTATGCCTTTACATCAAGAGATGTGGATATCTTGTACGTTGTGTCGGTTACACAGCACATTGTCACAGAATTACAGAATTCACAGAATGACATATTTCAGGGTTTAGCTTTCACAAGTTCACCTTAACAGATTGTGAGATATTGACTATCAATTGTAAGATGGTGACCGAACGTTTTCAACAGATAAATAGTCGGTTGGTGTCTCAACCTGGTCACACATACTATCCCTATAGTACTGGTATAGTGCTGGGGTGCGTTTAGTTCACTTCAAATGTTTGCTACGTTGCGTGACAGTTTGTACTGAACAACACGTTTCCCCAAAACAGTGTGCACCGTTCTTCAACAGCCTTTGAGGTACGTTTGCTCCAATTTGATTATATAATCTATATGGGTATGATCATTTGAAATTGCAAAACTCGTGTAGTACACCATACTCAATCGCCCTCGAGGCCACGATAAACACAACGTTCTTCAACTGGTCGTTTAGTACAGTGCCGTTTCCGTTGAATGTTGTTGTACTGAACGCATCCTGGGTATACTGGGTGGGCGTGTAGACACTGCTCCATTGTCCCTCTGTAGAATTGAGTTCATCACAGGGATCTGATCTTGGTGTGATTCTGGAACAACAACAACAAAGGGACACCCAATATTCCCTCCAAGAATGGTTAAAGCAGGTATCATGTGACCTGTGATAGTACATGGAAACAAAGCAGCAATGCTCACAGGATGTGTGAACCACTTCCTCCATGCATTATTGCTACAGTCAACTAGAAAGTCAAACATGTTCTTTGGTGCAACGTCTTTGTCCGTGCTTGACTATGGAGCCCAAGGTAGCTATTCAAGAACAGTTAGGCCTGTACACACACAGTGAACTGTACTCTAGTGCGTTGTGTGGGTGTCTCAAGCTCTGAGAGAAATAAAAACACCTCTGATGTTTTCTTCAATCACCCTCACAAGCATTTTATAAAAAAACATTTTAAACAACAACAACTACAACAGCCAGTGTGCTAACAATTGCTCCACCTGACCTTTCTGTGATGATCAGAGACGGGTAGTATTTCTGTTACATGTATTTAAAATACGCATTTTAATTATGTCTGAGTATTTTGTAATTTAAATTACACTGGGCTGAACTACACTCCAATGTATTTTGTATTTTGTAATTGTATTTTGTCATTTTTGCCCATGTCTGGTGATGATGCCATTGAAACTTTCACAACATGCAGTTTCATGATCCTGATTGAATCAGGCTAAAGTAACACTGCTTTGGCTAAGAAGTTGACCTTAAGCACATGCGCTTGCTCCACACAGAACAGGTATAAGAGAGTGGATCATTTGAGTTATTTTGAGTTTTGCTTCGCCGGAGGCTGAAGTCACCAAGTGAAGGCTGTCTCCCATTGAGCACCTGAGGTGGTGACCAGCTGACATCACAGGCGATGTCAGAGGTTTGTTAAAGGTCATGACCTTTGACAATATTCCAACTGTGAAAGCTGAACGGCCTGAAGGGGTAAAACAACAACCCTCTCAATGGCATTGACCGCAACTGGGCATCTCTCCAATATGAACTGACCTGACTTTGCATGGGAGGCTTTTTTATAAATAAATAAAATCTAGGGCAGGGTTCATTCCATAATCACATCCATCTCGATATTCAGTGGCTTCCTTTTTCTTGTCTCCTTTCCTGCACTGGTGTGAAATACCTGGGATAGATTCAATCAAATTCACAGTGAGGAATGCCATTTTGTATTTATCTACAGTGTCCTGTGTCTTCAGCTTCAGATCAGCTCATGAGAAGGGAAGGAGACGAGGCGAGGAAGACATATTAAACGATTGAGATACACCCCAGAGTTATTTTTTTCTAGGCTACTCTCCTCGTTGTGGTGGTCAAAGTTGAACTCTTAGGGTCATGCAAGTGCTGTCTTATCTGTTTTTATAGGTGAGGAATATGGTTTGATAAGAATGAGGAAATGTTTGTCCAATGTGTATCTGATATTTCACTTGACATTATAATGACATAATATCCTAATAAAAACGGTTTTAACCAATTGAACCCTCATTAACACATAATGACATATAAACACATGTTAAAATTAAGTGATGATGGTTGAACCAGACAAATAATAAAGAAAACTGATGAAGTTTTTAATTGATTTAATAGCAGAGAATAATGTCATACCAATGCACTGTAATTATATTTACTTTAATAGGGGAAGCACACCACTGACAGGGTCATCAGTACGAGTACACTGAAGCCTTGTTTACACCATGCTCTAACATGTGAGTTTCGTGATCTTACCAATATGATTCAATCACTATCTGATCAAGGTTTGTCGCTTGTAAACATTGTATTAAAATATGTCTCTTATCCGTCCACTGTGTCCGCATTGTGAGCCAACTAGCTGGTGCCTCCCTGTATGCTAATTATTTAACAGGCCAGTATAATGATTTGAGAGGCCAGTATAATGATGATTCAAATGGTTTGACCATCCAGATCTGTTTACACTCGATTGATACACTATGTGCCTGACTACCTCTGGAGATCTCATCACAATGTGTCTTTAAATAATTTACACCTGTCTAAAAATGTGGGCACAATCAGAAGGCTTCTGACTCCATTCCTCTCTAGTGATTGGTAATGTTGACCCAGCAGTGCTCAGTGAACAAACTACATACAGTGCCTTTGGAAAGTATTCAGACCCCTTGACTTTTTCCACATTTTCTTATGATACAGCTTTATTCTAAATTCGATTAAATAAATAAAATCCTCAGCAATCTACACACAATACCCCATAATGACAAAGCGAAAACAGGTTATTAGACATTTTTGCAAATGTATAAAAAATAAAAACAAAAATACCTTATTTACATAACTATTCAGACCCTTTGATATGAGACTCGAAATTGAGCTCAGGTGCATCCCGTTTCCATTGACCATCCTTAAGATGTTTCTACAACTTGGAGTCCACCTGTGGTAAATTCAATTGATTGGACATGATTTGGAAAGGCACACACCTGCCTATGTAAGGTCCCACAGTTGACAGTGCATGTCAGAGCAAAAACCAAGCCATGAGGTCGAAGGAATTGTCTGTAGAGCTCTGAGAAATGATTGTGTCGAGGCACAGATCTGGGGAAAGGGTACAAAAACAATTCTGCAGCATTGAAGGTCCCCAAGAACACAGTGGCCTCCATCATTCTTAAATGGAAGAAGTTTGGAACCACCAAGACTCTTCCTAGAGCTGGCTGCCCGGCCAAACTGAGCAATCGGGGGAGAAGGGCCTTGGTCAGCGAGGTGACCAAGAACCCGATGGTCACTCTGACAGAGCTCTAGAGTTCCTCTGTGGAGATGGGAGAACCTTCCAGAAGGGCAAACAGGCCTTTATGGTAGAGTGGCCAGACGGAAGCCACTCTTCAGTAAAAGGCACATGACAGCCCGCTTGGAGTTTGCCAAAAGGCACCTAAAGACTCTCAGACCATGAGAAACAAGAGTATCTGGTCTGATGAAACCTGGCACCATCCCTACGGTGAAGCATGGTGGTGGCAGCATTATGCTGTGGGGATGTATTTCAGCGGCAGGGACAGGGAGACTAGTCAGGATCGAGGGAAAGATGAACGGAGCAAAGTACAGAGAAATTCTTGATGAAAACCTGCTCCAGAGCACTCAGGACCTCAGACTGGGGTGAACGTTTACCTTCCAACAGGACAACGACCCTTAACATCGAACAGGCCCCCATTAACATCGACGGGCTGTAGTGGAGCGGGTTGAGAGTTTCAAGTTCCTTGGTGTCCACATCACCAACAAACTATCATGGTCCAAACACACCAAGACAGTCGTGAAGAGGGCACGACAACACCTTTCCCCCTCAGGAGACTAAAAATATTTGACATGGGTCCCCAGATCAAAACGTTATACAGCTGCACCATCGAGAGCATCCTGACCGGTTGCATCACCGCCTGGCATGGCAACTGCTCGGCATCTGACCGTAAGGCGCTACAGAGGATAGTGCGTACGGCCCAGTACATCACTGGGGCCAAGGACCTATATACTCGGCGGTGTCAGAGGAAAGCCCAAAAAATGGTCAAAGACTCCAGTCACCCAAGTCATGCACTGTTCTCTCTGCTACCGCACGGCAAGCGGTAGCAGAGAACCTGTTTTTGCTTTGTCATTATGGGGTATTGTGTGTAGATTGATGAGGGGGGAAAAAACATTTTAATCAATTTTAGAATAACGCTGTAATGTAACAAAATGTGAAAAAAGTCAAGGGGTCTGAATACTTTCCGAAGGCATTTCCCTTAGGCCAGTGGATCCAAGTGCTATTTATTTCCTCTGTACGTGGCAGCCAGGCTGTTATTGCGAAATAGCAAAGGCTTTCTCTTTATGAAAAAGAAATATAGAACAGTCTACAACAAGTGACGGATCTAGTCACAGCCTCTTTCTCAATAAGCCTATACTCATTTTTCAAAGACACATCAAGACTGATCGTCTTGCGTTATCTAACTTGGCACACACATTTATAAACCACCTGTTTTTCTCTTCAGCAAGTTAAATAAGGCCATTGCACATATTTGTTGAGGCCCCCAGACCATTCTGCAGTGAAGTGGGTGTGTCTCACAAGTTTTAGGAAGGGATCCAGATTTCCTTTCATAACCCTCAGTTGGTATAAATAGTTTCTCTGCAAGCATTTCCCTCAGGCCAGTGGATGCATCTGAACTGAGCTGATCTAAAAGACACACAATCAGCACAATGTAAGTAGAAATGATAGTCTCATTGCTTTGATACATTTCCTTTGACTTGTGATGGTGTTAATTATTAAAGGGAGAGTGATTTATATAGAAATTGAAAGTTGTAGTAACATAATTTAGAAACGGTCTTTTAAAGTATTACAATATATGGCAATAGTTGTTATTAATGTATGAATAATAGATTTTTCATCTGATGTGGTCACTGGCGGTTTGTACTTTAGGTTTTAATAATATTATGACACTGACTGTTTGTGTGTAGGCTACTTTAGGTTTTTAATGTGATAACACTGACTTTGTGTGTACTTCAGGGTTTATTTTGCAGGGTTGGTTGGCTTGCTTCTCATCTTGACTGCTGAAGCCAGAATTGGGTAAGGAAGTTATAATACACTTCTGTTATTACTAACCACACGTTTCAGAAATCATACGCTGTTTGTATATTGAATGTTTGAATATTTATATTGAATATTGGATGTTGTGCAACATTTTCTGCTATTCTCCATTATTGATTTATTTTCCACTGATCCCTATAGGAACTCCTCTGAGTCTAGCTTCTGTACCGAGTCAAGGGAATGTCTGCTGTATGATCTGGTGTGCAAGAATGGTGATTATAATTATGAGGTGAGTTCATTGTAAAGCACAAATTAATGGCACATACTGTAAAACTGAGTCAGGGGTATTATTTGTGACCACATTTTGTTTTATTGTTTAGTTTTCTGTCAGGGTTGCAGATAAAATACAATTGCATTTTTATCAGAATATAGTTTATCAACATGATAATAATCATTTTAATTTTCCATAAAATTGTTATAACATAGACGAATGTACCTGCATTCGTAAAACAATCCCCACCCAGCTATCATCCACCTGACAACTCCCCGAGCCCCAGAAACCAGGCTTCCCACCCTTTTCTACCGGGCCTAGACACCAAAGTTGCTCCCCCTGCTTCCAACATCCGCAACTCAATACACTCTCCAACACAGGACTCTGAGTGAAGTTTTGTGTCTGTGTTACAGGTGCGCCACTATGACTCGGTGAAATGGGTGTCGACAGACGAGGAATGCTACTTCATGGACAAGGCCATGTACACTGCCTTCGGGAGACTCTTCAAATACATCACCGGATCCAACGAGGCTGGTGAGTGTGTGTGTGTGTTTGTGTGTGTGTGTGCGTGCGTGCATGTGTTTGTGCGTATTGATCTATTTGTGTGTGTGTGGATGCAAATTTTTCCTGTAGGTGTCAACATTGACATGACAACTCCGGTGACTGTCAAAATTGAGGAGAAGAAGAGGATGTGGCAGTCGTCTGTCTTCACCCTCAACTTCCTCCTGCCGTCTGACTATCAGATGACTCCTCCCCAACCCAGTGATGACAGGGTAAGACCCAATCTCAAATAGACCCCTAGACCCTACGCCTTATGCAGCTTTTCTAGAGTTCCAGATGGGCGGGGTTTGCACTTTTGGGACTATTCCATTGGCACCACTGAGCCAGGCAAGCTCAAACGTGCGCAGCTTAAGTATTTGAAAAAACACAAATACTATTTGAACCCATGTCAGGTATGCGTTGCTTTTTAAAGAACCCTGGCTAACAATGTGGATGTCATTGTGATTTCCCGGTGCAGGTGTACTTTACAGAGATGCCAGACATGAAAGTGTACGTGAGGAGCTACGGCGGATGGATGATGTCTTTGACATCCAGTATAAACTCCATGCTGCTGAAAAGGCAGCTAGACAAAGTCCAGGCCACCTACAACAAAGACTACCACTATGCTGTGGGATATGACAGGTGAGAGCACGGATACAAATATATCCAACATCAAATCCAATTCCACCAGAATACTTCTATCAAACATACTTTAATATTGTGTGTGTGTGTGTGTGTCCTACAGCCCAATGAAGATTCTGAACAGGCACAATGAGGTGTGGTACATGGTTGAGGGAGAGCCTGTCTGCCCTACCTCCTCCTAAACATCCTCCTCCACTACTGCTGAGTCTGGTATTACCGCTTTGAGGAGGACCAATGGGAGGTGCATGGTAGACTGAGAACATCTGAGAAAATGTGGTTTGGAGACAACAAGGATATTAACTAAGAGATGTGTCCCTGATCTGGTGGCACTATAATCCAAAATCAATATGCCACATATTATGTGTATACATACTGTATGTCTTACAAGTTTTTCATACTTATTCAGGGTTCAATTTGTTAGGGAGGTGCCTAGCTCACCCTAGTCCCGTAATTCGAACTCTGTACATATTGACATGTTCTAACAATGTGGGGTGAATGTAGACAGGGATATTTTTGTACTAAATAACTGAGTCCGTTTGTCAAAAGGGAAGATACTTTTCAGAAACTACAACAGTCCATGTTGAACATGATTTGGATATTTTTCTCAATAAAATATGAATCGTGTCTGAGTTGAGTCCTCAAATATATGCCAAACAAATCCTCTCCAGCTCTTTGGTCATACTTGACTGGTGGTGAATACAGTATGATTATAATGAACATAAAATCTTAGGTAATTGCGTCAGATAGCATATTTATTACATAGTCTGTCCATGAGAGATCATAATGAACATTACAAATGACATTTTAGTAATTTAGCAGACCTTCTTATCCAGAGCGACATACAGTTAGTACATTAACCTTAAGGTACAACAACCACATATCACAGTAAGTCAAACTTTCCTCAAAAAAGCAGTGCTTAGAAGAAAAGCCAAGTGCAATGGTAAGGTGTTAGGCTTTCTTGTGTTGTTGTTTTTTCAGTCACTCCTTTCACAAATACAGTGAAGTAGTATTTGAAAGTCATCAAAATCTAATTTGTTTGTTACTATTCAGTGGTGCCCAACACAAGAACACCATACACCGTTCACCACTCAGTGCCGCCGTTAACAACAAGGGCATGTTCTAAGAAAACATCTCAAATAATTCAGATAATTAAGAAAACAGATCACAAGTACATTCTTAGAAAATAGGGTTCCAAAACGGTTCTTTGCGGAAGGATAAGATTCTACCAAGAACCTATTAGATCAGAAAGACCCTTTTTGGAAGACAAGGGTTCTTTGATGATTCTTCGGAAGGCAAGAAGGATTCTTTGGATGGCAAGAAGGGTTCTACATGGAACCATGTATAGTACTTCCCAGCATGCTGTATTGCTGGGAGATTTTCAGAATTGTTTGGTTTACTGTAAAATCTGTGTTTTTGCATGTACTGTACATTGATTGGTTGATACATTTTATGCTACACAAAGATAAATAACATACAGTTTTCGAAACAAATACTATCTGTTAGTAATTGGATTTATTGCACCCGTTACTGAGATGGTTATTCCAGTGTAGATGATTGAGGTAGTACCCTTCATAGACGGTTCTAGGTAAAACCATATACAGGGGGTTCTTTCAAGAACCAAACAGAGGGTTCTACCCAGCACCAAAAAGGGTTCCCCTATGGGGACAAACTGATGAACCCTGTATGGTTCTACTTAGCACCTTTTTTTCTAAGAGTGTACACTCCATCACACGCTGCAATGGATAGGCGTTCCCAATCATGAGCCCTGGCCTGCCCTGCTCTTGCTGATGTAAACCCCTTTGTGCAGAAGATGATATGGAGGACCGGAGGTATTTTTTTTATTTTGCTAAGGCATCAGCTATTCTTCCTGGGGTCCAAAGCTTGCTACTGATATAACTGATTTGAATACAAATTAAATTGACCTGATTATATAAAACAATCTATAACGAGGCTTTAGTCCACAATGCTTTATGTTAGAAACAAGCTGTAAAATGCCAGGGAAAGACGTGACTAATGCATATAAGAGATGTTTGGTTTGTCTCTATGGCATTCAGAGGCTGCACTACAACCTTCTATAGCCGAAGCTCAGTGGTGTAGTGCTCTTTGTTTAGGTAATTTTTTCAATGACATCATCCTTTCTCAATCAAAGTTTGACTACTCAGCTTCAGATAAGAAATGACTGAGGTGTTTTTGGTGTAACATATTATAGGCCTACTATGCTACAGAAGGCTTACATGCTTTTATATTTATATTATATTTTCTGCTATGCAAAATACTAATAAATCATTATGTGATCTTGCGAGACATTAATTCAGCTTTGATCTAACTTTACTAAAAGAGCACCATTGTGAGAAGTGATATTCTTCTATTTGTAATAATAATAATAATAAGCAGGGGCTTTTGAAAGTGGGGGGGACATAACCTGGCAAGGGGTCCTCCCCCATAATCTTTTGGCCATCTAAAGCTCATTTCCAGCATTTCTACACAAGCTTATATGCTGTCTCTAATTAGAACAACAAAAAGTAAGCTAAAATGCCCACAGTCATCAAGCTAGGTAAGAGATCATTACTAAATATGTTTAAGTGATTGATAAGACTGAACTAGATCAAAGGTAATTCAATAATCAATATTTTTTTGCACCTTTAACCAATAGCCTAACAAATGAACAACTCTTGAAAAAATACAAAGACTTTTGATTGTCTTTATTAAGACATCCTCTATATCAAATTTCAGCCAGACCGACCAGCCAGCCCGAGCCGCCTGCACGCACGACTACCACCAGTCTAGTCAATAACTCAAATCTCTCCCAACATAGTTTCCTTCCCAGCTTACATTTTTTTAATTCCCAAGGGAAAGGGAAAAAAACTAAAAACATATACACCTCAAACATACATTAACACACAGAAACAGCAAATCCTCCATATAATTAATATCATAGGTCTAATAGTACTGTAGAGCTCTTTTGACTTGCACACAATATAGTTGGGTCACCCCGTCCTGTCCCTAGAGGTCCATCACCCTGCAGCGCCCCAACCCAACACACCCCACTCAGTTTTAGGATCTTAGTGAAACATTCATTATTGGTTTCAGGTGTGTTAGGCCAAGGCCAGAGTGACAACAGTATGGCAAAACCCCAGGGCCAGGACTGAGCAGCCCAGCAGCTAGGGATTGCCTAAATAGGTACCTCCCCTGACGTGGGCATGTTTTCAGTACAGACTCCTTTTGTCGTACAGTATTCCATATAAGGCATCCAGACCTTATGAAAGTTGCACAGTATACCCTTAATCTTGTAATAAATTAAATCTAGTGATACATAACCTGACATTGTGGGAGGATAACCAACCTTCCAATTAATTGCAATGCATTTCTTAGCCGCTATAAATGCTTGGTTATACAGTTTCTTCAGATAACAGCCTCCAGTATGAACATTTCCAAGCAAACAAAAACAGGGAGAAGGGAGAATCTGTAGACATTCTGAAATAAAAGAACATACTCTTTGCCAGAATTCAGCCAGCCTTTACAAGACCATAACATATGCAAATATGTCCCCTTTTGTGTTTAACACCTCCAGCAGAGGAATTACATTTCTGAGGGCATGTAATTAAGTTTCACTGGCATTTAGTACAGTCTATGGATGGTCTTAAACTGCAGTTATTTATGTCTGAGATTATTTGAACATAACTGGGCATTCAAACATATCTGTATCCATTCATCATCATCAATATCTTCTACCAGGTCTTCCTCACATTTTTGTTTTACATGTTTTGTGTCATTGGGAAAAACCCCTATCAACCCTTGATAGAGTTTGGAAATCAACTTTGGAGGTTTGTCAGACTGCTTTAAAATAGTTTCAATCTTTGAAGCTTTTGGCTTGTCCAGTGTTTGCTGCACAGGGAGAATAAAGTGTTGCATCTGTAAAAATTCACCTCAGCTCCATCACAGACAGGTCTTCCCTGGATGCCTGACCCTGCTGAGACCACTATCACCATCTGATCCTCCTAAGATGAGGCATGACAAAGAATTACCTTGGTGTACATTTATGCATTATATTACCTCAGTTGAGAGGGGATTAAACATGAGCTAACGTTACATGTCAGTTACAATACTAGCTCAGCACTGGGAATAAACACTTTTTTCTGTTAAGTTAAAAAACAGTTTCCTTGCCAGCTACACTTAATATGTTGTGAAATCTGTTATGAATGTATTGTAATGTTTTTAAAATGTATAACTGCCTTAATTTTGCTGGACCCCGGAAACTGCCTTGGCAGCAGCTAATGGGGATCCATAATAAATACAAATATATCAGTCAACTAAAGAGTAGCCAGTTTTTGCTCTGCTTGCTTTTACAACTCGGAGAAAGAGTGCAACACATACATACTGAACTATGCTCAACTCTCCTGTGCTGGTCCAGCCAACCTTCTAGAAGCTTTGCCTTCAAACAGCCTGTCAGCCCGCTCTGTGGTGTCCGCACGGTTCTAAATCCAGCCAGCTGAACAGTCTAAAGAGCCTACCCGACCGCATGGTCCAAAAGCACACCGTTGCCGCATTTTGTATCACATTGCAATGTAAAAAACAGAAATAAAATAAACAATCTGAATGCGTCGGGGACATGACCCCCCCCAGTGAAAGTTGCACCTCTGATAATGAGTGAATAAGTGATGATGATGATGATGAGTAGGACTATTAGATGTAGGCAACATATTGATTAGGGTTTGAGCGCCCTTCGAAACGTGGTGCTGAAAGGACAGCAGTGGTCACGTATCGTTCTGCGCAAGGGGGTCCGTGGAGTTTTATGACCATCATGGCAGACACGCGGTAAATTTGGATCCTAGATTTCGTTGGTGTGATGATATGATTCATGCGGGGGATCAGTAGAGGTGGTATGTTTATGTAAGCTATGCACTCGGACAGTAGGGCGAGTTTAAGTGCGTCGTACAATAATGTTTTGAGGACAGCCATTTTAGCATCCCCTGGTAGAGTTTTCTGTCTGTGACTGTTCTTGTTACATAGGATTTGGCCCACTCAAATTTGTCACGCCTCCGACCGACGGGCCTCTGCACACACGCCTACAGTTCATAATTCGTGCCACCGCCATAGAGAAAGAATACAGGGATCCGTTCTGGATTACTGACCTCTGCCTGCCCTTGACCTGTCGTTTGCCTGCCCCCTTGTTTTTGTAATAAACTTTTGTTACTACGAAACTGTCTGCATCTGGGTCTTCTCCTGAGCCGTGATACCATTTAGGCTACCTACCAATAGGCTACTATAGCCTACATATTTATTTAGGTTGTCATTCTATCCTTTTCATGGCATTTTTTAGGTAATTAGGCCTAAATATTATTTATTTAGAATTTCTACGAATGAATTGTTCAGAAATAATTTTACCATGCAGCCCGGTGTATTCTCAATTTGAAAACAGGCTATTAAACAACATACTAACTCTGTAGAAAATGAAATGTAACAATGATGACTTATTGTACACAACACACATGTACTTTGTAACAACAATATTGTTATGTTATTATGTTGGAAGATAAGTAACGAGATTACAGTTAACAAAAATGTATGCTTAATTCAGTATAAATGAATGTACAGAATTTATTATATTGTACATGAGACAAAAT